CAGTTTAAACACAGGCCATTCCTTGATTTTAGATCAAATTCAAGACCTTGTGAAGCCATCGACATTGCTGTTTTGATATCGGTACATTCAAGTCAAATCTGTCGGTCTGTGTCGTCTGTCAGCAACTGAACCACTGATAAGTCATCATGCTGTGTTCAACCCGTAAGAATATAGCGCTGGTGTTTGGCTTAGCTCAATCAGCTGCCAAACGTGTTACTCGTCCAAGTTAAACGTAGTTCAGTGACCTGCGGTTATTTTTGTGAAGAAAGTCACATACGGATGAGAGACAAATCGATCAAATCTAAGGAAGATTGCGAACTGATGTTGGACTGGTTGGGCGTAAGTTATTAAGATTATGAGGTAAAAGCCTTCTTAGGAGTGTCCTGCGACGACCTTTGCGGGGTAGCATTACCTACGTTTGAAAAGGAAAGCAGTCGAGTGTAAAACTGAGTAAAATACACACATTCCGCAACTAGAGGGCATGCCACTGAAAAGCAGAAGTAAAGGGCAATTTGGGTAGTGAGTTGTGAGGATATCAGATGGCAGTTTGAAAATGAGGTAGCGAAACGGTGTTAACTAAAGCTAACCAGACAAAAACGTAACCACATTATAACGCATTACCCACGAATGTATTTGAGTATTTGAAATAAATGTTTGACCTCCGAAATCAGTGCTGTGTAAGGAAGGGAAGCACTCGAAGAAAATACGAAATATTCTGGAGGTGTTGTACAAAATGTCGCAGGAGTTGGATACTTACGTCTTCCTTTTTCCACGTCAGTGTGAGGGTGAAAGTCGCTTATTTCCAACTATCGGCGCCACGTTAATGCTTTGATTTTAAAAGTACATCCCACGCCATATCTCGCCCATCCCTCGTCGGCTGTGACTTGTTGCATCGCATTTGATCCAATCTCCCTATCTCTTTAGACATTTCAGGCAATTTGCCCTAGTTTTGTTTCTACATGGCACCAAAGGAATGTCTTCCCCGCCGTGCTGTTCTGGCGCGGCCAGACTTTATTGGCACTGGTCGCACTCGTGCTGAAAAAGTATTGTCATCTCTAGTCATATGGAAGTCCACTGCATCCGACAATTGATGCCTGCTTGTCGACGCCGGCATGCTCGTGTTCGCTGACCGCAAGAGACGACAAACAGTCTTTGGGTGATATGCCAATACTTGTTTTGGTTCATTTTTGCTTTGTGTATTGCTCCCAACGCTCAAAAGCCTCTTGCTTCCCCCCATCGAGTTGACTTGTTCGAATTCTAACTTCAAAGGAAAAGTATACGTTTTCATATATTTGTAAATGCCTTCAAATGGTGCGTGTGCATTTCAGAAGTGCGCATTTTATCAGTTGAAACCTAGAAATTGTTGCCTATTATACAATCATAATCATAGTTGCAAACATATTCCCACTTATGCTTATTGAAAAAGTTCAACGAGCAGGCAACAGCAACACCAAGCCGACGTGGAGAAGAACGCCGCATGGTCTGAGGGCTCCCATCGAGCAATAAACAACAAACTGGAGGGAATTTAGATTTTTCTCAATATTCCCTATGCTCCAGCAGTACACGAATATTCCCTGACATGTGGGGATTAGGCTTCCGCAAATTCAGCAACCGTTCTGGCCAAAGCCTCAGGTCACCATCCACGAAGAGGGAGGCTTACAGAGTCAAAATTCAAATATACCGCGAGATCCGTTCCCTCGGATCTCATCTTTTTGCGTACTAAATGCGCGATATCGATGTTTCCACTCGCGCTGAAACCGCTGGCGTCGATACGGTCAACAAGCCCTGGCCACTCTCACAGGTGCAGACCTGGCCACTGCACTTCTGAGCAGACCAGCTACAGGTCTGGCCACTGCACACACTGAGCAGACCAGCTGCAGGTCAGGCCACTGCACGCACTGGGCAGACCAGCTGCAGGTCTGGCCACTGCACTCACTGGGCAGACCAGCTGCAGGTCTGGCCACTGCACATACTGGGCAGACCAGCTGCAGGTCTGGCTGCTGCACTCGTTGAACAAACCAGCTTCCGGCGTGGTGGACGCGGTGGCGCGGCGCCACCCCGGAGTCGCTATCTTGTTTATGATCCACGTACCGGGACAGAACCGGGCTGGTGCGGACCGGCCGCCCCGCAACTCTACACCTGAGCGTCGGAAAATCGCGCTGTCAGCCTGTCAGCGACCAATTGTCCCCGCTCCCCCCGACCTCATGGCGCAGCGCCGTTGCGTCACCCCGATCTGCGCCGTTGATGGTCGGCGCACTGGCGAAGGTCAGTGAGGCGCTCACCCCGGGGCGACGGCGTTGGCCCGGGGCGGCGCGCCACCACGCACATCGCGGGCACCACGAGCCGGCACGTCGAACGCGCCCGGCCTTATCGATCGGGCGCCGCTATGTGTCCATGTTTCTACGGAAACCCGACCGCGGCACGGGGTCGGGTCGTGGCCGGGCGGTCGGGCGCCCCGCCAACCTGGGTCGGCACGCGGGTGCGCGCCGCCCGGCCTTGGAGGCCGCGCGCGCCCGGTCGCCGCGCCGGTTCCGTGTCCGCGCTGGCCTGAATATCGCCGCTGAGCGCAGCGCCGAGCGCCGCCGCCATGAGTGACCTCGAGCGTGAGAGAGCCGTTGTCAGCCCAGCTCCGGCGACCGGCACGGGCTGGGTGGCCGGCTGACTGCGCAGGGCGGGGCTGCACGGCGCGCTCGGCCGGTTCCGGCTGCACTGGAGCGGCGAAGGACGGCTGTCGCGCCGACCTGATAACGCCGCCGGTTCATGCGTCTCACAGCGGCGAACGCTGCCACGCCACAGATTTGCCGGTGGGCGGGCCTGCTGGGACTGCACCATCCGCTGGCGCATCATGAGCCTCGGCACGCTTGTGAGGGTCTGCGCCTCGCGATTGGCAAAAGCGCGGCTGGCGCTCCGATGGTCCTCTTCAAAGTGGTCCCCTCCTCGCCGTCCCCGCGGGCTGGGAGAAGGCGTGGAAGCAGTTATCCAGCGGCATTTGGTACGTGTCGGTAGGAACATATCGTATATAGGCCTTCATATCGTCTGGCCCGACTGACATGGAAAACTGCAACTTGCCATCGAGGCCAACCCAAGCACGAGGCGCACGGCCGCGCCTTAGCATTGTGCGGAACTTTAAAAAAAAACTCCGGCCTTTCTGGTGAAAGGACGAAGCAAACTCATCCGACGAAGCGGGCGGGACAACTGATGTAGCGGGTTCAAGGTACATGTAACATGTTCTGCTTTTGCAGGAAATCTGAAACCAAGGCCTGTCGTACAAATAAGCCGAAATGAATGCATGTGTTGAGTCACTACACTAGATCATCACTACACAGGCCATTTTAAGATCATATTACCTTTTAAGCAGCCACAAGGTCGGCTTCAACAATCGTAAGGTCACTTCCATCGACGTTCGCATAACATCGGCGTTTCACCAATGGAGGACATTCACTTTGGCAGCCTGACTATGCCAAGTCTTAACGGCATTCTCGGCTCGTGCATACACACAAGTAGCCTTGCTTTGCGCTGCCCGTATTCACCTGTTGCTGCAAGTTCGGCTGTCCAATTGATAGCTAAAAAGCGTTTGCTTCGTTTCATCTCTGCTCTGTTATTTAGCATAACTTCCGACTTTGCGGGATATGCTGTTTCATTTTTTCCGCGCATCGACTTTGCCAGTGTGTCACATCGCCATTCCAATCTCATCATTTCGTGCTAGTGCCATTCCCACGCACCCGAATGTGCCTAGTTTCCCATGGGGCTGTCGTCCAAAATTGCGAGCCGAACGCTCCACCCGGCTCACAGGAACTGTACCAGCTGTGTTTGCGTGTGCAGTGCTGCCGATTCCACGCTAAAGCGCAGCCGACCTCCTCGGCCTGTTCCGGCGGTCCACTATCTGCGGTCACATCGAACAAAAGCAGCGGGCATGTTTCTGTTAGTTTGAAGCGCATGCAGCTGCCCGCAGCGAGCGCTACCGCGCCATCACACCGCTACTGACGGCCTTCACCTTGACGTGACTTTCCGCTTGACGGCGCGCGGTAGCAGCGACTGCGACGTTCCAGCATCACTGATAGTCCCTTTGTGTGTTGAGGTGTGTAACTGGAGGCAGCTCGAAACACGGCCGGCTGCACCGACTCGGAGCGCTTACGGGGAGGCTCCCGCCCCTAAGCGCAAGGTATTTGTTTGTGTCAGGATACCGTGGGGTATTGCAAATTGCACGCGGTGGTAAGTCGCATGAATAAGATTGAATGATGATTATGTTCAGCTAAAAACAATTCCTTTGCTCCTTTATGACAATCAGGATGCTTAAGGCGATCGTTCTTACTCGTGAGTAAACGCCAGACAAATGCGAACCGATCGACAGACGAATGCATTAAGGAACGTCAATGCGCCTTAATCATTCGAGCATTGCCTCCTGCAGACCGCAACCGCGGCGTATTCCTCCCGCAAAAAGGAGATACCGTCAAATGTGTGGACGATGCGCCGTCCCGCACCAACTTAGGCATTATGCCAAACTCGACTCACTTGAGGCACGTCTGATCATTCTTTGCTAAGTCAAGACCGAGCCGTCAGATCGGAATAATTCGAATGACGAAGGACTGACTGTGGTCAATGCCACCTCGTCCGCGTCACACTGACGTCACGCAAGGTTTGGCCCTGCGGAAAGAAAATGGGAGAAATCTATACTAATCATGAAGTGAAGTTAGGAGGCCTTTGTGTGATGCTGTTAGGATGGCGCTTCTGCAGATTGGACTTAAGTAGTCCAATCCGTCCTGCTACGGCCCTGACTTTTATATTGGTTTAGTTATAGTCGATGAAAATAGCGGCGGGTTGCCGTACTAAGTAACGAGTACAAGGTGCCCATGCATCTTAGTCAAGTCCCGAACCCGGCTGTGCTGATTCCCTGACTGGAGTCGTCTTCCGCGCGCGGTTGACACCAGCGCCGCTGCGTCTCTGTACGTGCGTCGCATTGTCCGCCTTACTAATGTTGACGGATGACCTTGCTGTTGCAGCGTCGCCCGTCCCTCGCAGCTGATCGTGCGGTCATGGACACGGTGGAAGTGCAGCAGGAGACCAGCGCCGGCGACCAGCGGCTGGCCACGCTCACCTACGAGCAGGTGCGCCGGCTGCACAGCGTGCTCAACGAGGTGCTGCCCATCCACGGTCGCGGTAACTTCCCCACGCTTGAGGTGAAACTGAAGGACCTGGTGGAGGACGTCAAGTCGCGCCTGGAGGAGGACGGCGTGGCCGTCAGCAGCGTGCGCGTCAACGGCGGCGCCGCCAGCCACATCCTGGCCACGGACGACTGCCAGGCTTACAACGACATCGATCTTATCTTCCTGGTAGATCTGCGCACGCAGAAAGACTACGAGAAGGTGAAGACAGCCGTGCTGCAGACGCTGCTGGACTCGCTGCCGGAAGGGGTCAGCAGGAAGCGCATGAGCTCGTGTAGCATGCGCGAGGCCTATGTACACAAGATGGTAAAGGTGAGCGACAGTGACCGATGGTCTCTGATCTCGCTCTCCAACCACGGCGGGCGCAACGTTGAGCTTAAATTCGTTGACACAATGAAGCGCAAGTTCGAGTTTTCCGTGGACTCGTTCCAGATCCTGCTCGACTCGATCCTGCTGTTTTACAAGTGCGCCGAGCCCCAAATTGTGACGCAGAACTTCTACCCGACGGTGGTCGGTGTCAGCATGTATGGCGACTTCCAGGAGGCGCTGTACCACCTGCAGAAAAAGCTGATCGCCACATGGAAGCCGGAGGAAATCCGTGGAGGCGGCCTTCTCAAGTACTGCAACCTTCTCGTCAAGGATTTCACACCTTACGAGCCGGCGAATATCAAAACCATGGAGCGATACATGTGCTCGCGCTTCTTCATCGATTTCCCGGACGTGATGCAGCAGCGTAACAAGCTGGAGACGTACCTGACCAACCACTTTGTTGGCACCGACGAGCACCTGAAGTACGCCTATCTGATGGTGCTGCACAAGGTGGTGGGTGACTCGACCATCTGCCTCATGAGCCACGAACGCCGGCAAACGCTGACGCTCATCCAACAGCTGGCCTGCCACGTTTTCATCCAGCAGCAGCAGGCGCTGTTGCAGAAGCAGTATGAGGCGCAGTCGCCGGGCGGCGGCGGTGCCGTCATCCTGACACCGTGCTTCACCAGCCAGCCGGTGCCCTGCACGTGCAACTGGATGCAGTGCTCCTAGCTCGCCCTTTCGGCCGTGCAATCATCGTGATATTCTTGTTGCAAGTGATTTTCAGCGTTGTGAATGCCCACACGGGGCTGTCGTCTCTAAAACGTAAACCGAAGTCTGCCGGGCCGGTGCGCGGCGTGCGGGCCGCCGCGCACGCCGCGCGGCACGTCTCGTCTGAACTGTTTCTGTGACAACATGAGTCGTGGGTCTCATCAACGCGAAGCTGTCCGGATCGGCGCGGCACGGACGCCGCCTCAGGCACTGGCGGCGCGGTAAACGGGCATTGGTCGGCGCCGACGTCGCACGACTGGAGGGTGGTCGCCGAGCATCGGAGGGCGCTTGGGCTGGAGCTGCAGAATACTGGCGTCTCGCGGCACGCTGGCAGGTACGTTTTACTCCGGTTCATCCCAGCACACTTGTCCTTGGCGTGGGTCTCCCGATTTTGGCGAAGGGACGCGGCCGCGGTGTTGACCCGTCGCTGGTCGGCGTGTTCCTCTGCGGCCGATGATCGAGTCGTAACGGTACCAGCTACCGCTTAGAAGATCCGCGTTTGGCCTTAATCACGACGCGAGGTCGCTGGCGGCCGTGCGGGCGGGCCGGGAGGGGATGGGGGCGGGGGGCTAATGACGACGAACTAAGGCATGCACGGTCGCCGTCTCGGTAGGATTGTGCATGCACCGTCGCCGTCTCGGTAGGAGTGTGCATGAAGGGCCGAGGTGCCCTCTGTAACGATCACCTACCATGCCAAAATTCGTGTTGCCATGGAAATTCACACTGTCGTCAGACGGCTTGAGGTGCCATATCGATGGATGGTAACGCGGCTCCGTTGCCTTGTCATGATTTACAACACGAATTCAGGAGTAATTACTTACGATGCCCGCCTCTCAGACGAGGCATCTTGATCTGCACACCGCCCTTTATTTTAACACGTTGCATTCGCTGACCTGCTGTTTTGGGCTAATCCGCGGTTGATTATTTTCTTGTCAAGTGGCCTTTTGGATGGCTATCAAACATAACCAGCTGGTGATGCGATCGAGTGGCCTGTAGTGAGACACTGTGTGGGCTAATTCGGGCTGTGCCGAGGCGAGCTGGCCTGACGCCGGACTCCGTGATTGCTGTTAGGAGGGGCCAACAGCGGGTCGTCATGGACACATGCCTCCGCCAGCCACTTGTTCTTTTCTTCTGAAAACGGCACCAGTATCACGGTTCTGGTTGTGCCGCGTTTTGGCAGCGAGATCACATCTCCCTCCGCCCATCTTCAGCAGCCATCCCCCAAGGTCACCCCGATGTGCATTTTCCCGAAGTGTGACTGCAAGGTGCGCTATTGTTAATCCCGTCTTGAAGTTAGGCGTTTGGATTGCATGTTTTATTTTCACTGGCTCGTCTCATTCATTGTTGCCTAAGCGTCGCAACCTCGAGCAAAAAAGACCAGTTCCCGGCTCATACGCCTACACGCCTGCGATCCAAAAAAGGCACACGAGTTGTAGCCTCGCTTTCGGAATCCGGGCGCGGTTGTGGGACGCCGCACCGGCCACGGCGCCCCCCACGGCGGCCACAGGGCCGCCGCTTACGGTCCGGCAGCCGCAGGAATGCCCGGCAGCGTTCTGGGCGGCGCTCCAGCCGGCTGCCAGCGTGAGCACCCCTCTGCCACGTGACCTTATAAGCCCCTCGGCAACGGCCCAGGCCTGGCACGTCCAGCTTGGCCTGCTGCCAGCCGCGCCGCCCGTGTAGGCGTTCGTGGCGCGTCGGATGCGATGGCGGCGCGCCGCCGCGGGGAGGGGAAGGCGGGCAGCTGGCGGGCCGCGTCCATCTCGGCCGAATCGATATATCGACCGGCGCATTGACGGTCCAATAGCGCCTCCGACAGGTGCTGTGCACACGGACTTGGCGCTGCCAACAGGCCGCTGCCGGGTGCCGCTGGCCACAGTTCATGGTCCGCTTGTGGAGCTGATTTATGATGCGCCGGAATTCATCAATTGAAGATACGTAACAACCTAATATGGACAGTTGGTCCACCTTCGTGAACTTTGAAGTTATCGCCCATGCGGTGCTCTAAAGACGTGCCGCCGGGGATAAAAGTGGGGAGCTCACGGTATCGTCTACCGTGCGGCGGTTTGCCACTTGTCGCGTGATTCGAGTCCCGTCTGTCCAAAGTTCAGTGATGGCGTGTGAAGCCTCCCGTCGGCTGCGGTCGGCTTGGTCCCACGTGTGCCGGTGTCGGTCCGGGGCGGGCGGAGCGGCTCCGTGCAGGTCCAGCAGGCTGCAGGCGGCAGGGGGCTCGGGCCGCGGCACCGCCCGGAGAGCAGGTCGGCCCCGATCTGGTTGCTCCCGCGTCGCGCAGCCAGATGCAGCCGGCTGGCCTTGATGCACGATTGCAACTTTCGCCACCAGCGGCCAGCGAGACTGCCTGCGGATCTCGAGCCCCGTCCGTCCCCTCCCCTCCCCCTCCCCGGGCCGCGCCGGATGGGTGGCGAGCACGCGGGCACGGCACGGCGCGGCGCTCAGCACGGGCCGCTGTCTCCCCCCCCCCCCCTCACCCCGGGCAGGACTGACACGGAAAGAGGTCGACCGCCGAGTTGCTGGTGATGCCGGAGGCTGTCTCAGGGCTGTAGCGTCTCGGTCCGCTCAGGCGGAGGCCCGGGCAGACGGAGGCCATGCCGCGCCGGTGCCGCTGACTCGCCAGGCGGCCCTGCTGGCATGTCGACCGTGCGCCTGTCCTCGCCAGACTTCCAGACTGGCAGTGCGCTTCGTTGGGTTAGTTCGGTGACGGAATGCGTGATTCCGAACCGCAGCCCCCCACCGCCACCGAGATGGGCTGTGGACCCACTGACCGCCGCCGATGAGCTGGTGGGATGACCGGCAAATCCCGACGGAATTACCCGGGTGTGATCTGTCTTGCAATTTGAAGCAGTTTACGGGCTGAAGTGGGGTATTTACCAGCCTCACTTGAGAGCTGTCAGTCGAAGGTGGAATCTGGGAGCCTCGGAGGGTGTTGCTCTTAGTCGTAAGATGGTAACCTCAGTGGGAACTGGGGCTCTCGGCTGCAGGTCAAGATCAACGGCCATCAGTATAGCACCATGAGTTATCTATCACTGTGGTCGAATAGTTGAACTTCGCCTGACTACTCTCCGTTGTGGCTGAGTAGCCGAGCTTTTCCTGGCCGGTACGGGCCACTCTTAGCACTGGAACGCTTGGAACCTGACGGTTGTTGGCATCGATCTGGTGCCGCGTCAGCGTTAGTCCGTCCCGGCCGGGGCCGCGCCCCCTCAACTGCCCCTCCCCCGGTTGCCCCCCCCCCCCCTCCCTCCCTGGCTTGTCGGCTGGGATGGCCGGCGGGCTGTCTGGATCCTGTCAAGCAGACTGGGAGAGGCTCTGCAGGGGTGGGTAGGTCTGCTAAAATGAGAGGACCACCGCGAGAGCCTGTTGCCAAAACCTTCTTCAGTGGATTCGTGGAACTAGTTAAAGCTGTATTTTAGTCTAGAAAGTACATCTAGGTCACTCAGGGCTTCCCCTACCGAATTATGATTAAATTTCAACTGAATCCCAAAGCGATCAAAGCTGCGTACAGCACACACGAAGCATGACCGCTGTCACAGCTGCACTGAGCCGGTTGTCAATCACAAAACAAATTTGTGGAAAGACCCAGCCTATTATTCGCTATGTGGCAAGACAAGGCTTTGCCGCTACTGACTAGATGTAGTGCATTGCATGCACCGAAGTCCCAGTGTTTCGTTTTTTTTATTAACATGAAACGAATGACATACTGGCACTGACATAAGGTATTACAAATCATCATCCGATATTTTGAACCCGCAGTTTGTTCAGAAGGCCGAGCGACAAAGATCGTGGTCATAAGCGAAGCAAACTCAAACATAGGTTAAACAAAACGGACCTTTGTAGTCATGAATAAGGAGCGCAATGAAAGAATTCCACAGCAACCGCTGTGTCGAAGAGCGCCCGAACTCTGCAGGACAAGTTCGAGAAAACCGCCCGGGCTGGTCGTGTCATGTGCGCCCAATTCAGGTGCGTAGGTGCACACTCAAATGGTGGTCGAACATGTGCAATATATGTTGACCTGAACTGGAGCTGTTGAAACTGTTGTGAGCGCTCTTCACAGTCAGGATTATGCGCATACTGTCATTGTACAGGCCAGCTGAATGTGGCTCCGGTGCACACTGTCATTGTACAGGCCAGCTGAGTGTGGCTCCGGTGCACACTGTCATTGTACAGGCCAGCTGAATGTGGCTCCGGTGCGCACTGTCATTGTACAGGCCAGCTGAATGTGGCTCCGGTGCACACTGTCATTGTACAGGCCAGCTGAATGTGGCTCCGGTGCACACTGTTGTTGTACAGGCCAGCTGAGTGTAGCTTTGGCGCACGCTGTCGGGCCAGCCTGGTGTGGCTCCGGTGCACACTGTTGGTGCGCGGGCCAGCTGAGCGTGGTTCCGGTGTACGCCGTCGGTGTGCAGGCCAACTGAGCCTGGCTTCGGCGCACACTGTCGGTGTACAGGCCAGCTGAGTGTGGCTTCGGCGCACGCTTTCGGGCCAGCTGGGTGTGACCTGGGTGCACACTACCAGTGTACAAGCCAAATGAGTTGGGCATCCTATCGGGGCAGACCGAAGCCAGACTTCGGTGCACAATGCCAGTGTACAGGCCAGCTGATTCTGGCATCCTATTGGAGGAGACAGAGATAAGACCCTGGAAGATGTCGGTCCCTGGATCGTGTCACTGCAGTCACCACACTGCCTCTCACATGACGGAGAGCTTTGCTGGACATTAACGACTGTGCTATGGGTGACGCAGGGTGTGTTCCAGTCCGTATAGTCATTTCTTACTGAGAAAGGCTGTGATTTGCCGGTGCTTGCGGTGAAGGGTGTGCACCACTTGCAATGCCGAATCAGTTTGCTTTGCTGGACTTCCTCTTGGCTTCAGCGGCCACCTCATCTGATTACCGGCTTTGGGTGGGGTTTTCCTGCGGTAATTCCGGCTACCGCCTAGTACCTGCCCGGCTCAGCTGTGGCTTGCCGTAACATCACGCGCGTCGGCGGTCGTACCTCGCACTTACCGTTACCGTGCCGGGGCGGCACGCTACAGTGTGGTACGCTGGCGTCGTAACTTTTACAAACGGAGCGGTCAAAGCCCCTCAAAAAGACGGCGTGTTTGGCGTGTGGAGTACTTTCGTGGAGTGTTTCGTGTCACTGGCCGAGTGTTGAGCCGCCGCAGGCCCGGACTCGGCGACCTGCGTCCGACGTCTTCATGAATCAAGTGATTCGGAATCAGTGGGAGAGTCCGACATCTATACGAAACTCTGGTACTTGTATGTACACGCACCCAATTTGTTCTGCGTTCTTGGTGTATTGTTATTATTGAGATTTAGTCAATTCATTGCGTGGTTGGATATCAGTTTGCATCCTCTTGGCTTTTAAACTGAAACATTCTTGGCATCTCTTCGTAATTGGAGGCATTAAAGAAAGTGTAAAGGATTATAGGTCGGAAAAACTGAACGGAAAGTACTTTAAGGACATGTGACCATGCTTCTCTTTGACGTAGGGCCTGTAGCAATGCCACGCTATGTGGCCTTGAGTGGCGAACCAAGTGTAAACGAGTGACGAAACTGAATGGCGAACGAATCTGAGTGGCGAACTTCACTTAACCTGTAGTTTTTAGGCCGCTTGCCCGGGGGGGGGGGGGGGGCCAAGGTACGGTGTTTGATTCCCCGTGGCGCCCGCCTTTCCTGCCAGGGTGCGAAACAAAACCTAACCAATTACTTGACAAAAACTATGTAGTGGAAGTGGTATTGCCGTGTTCTCGCCTCCCATAGGCCCTATAGTGGGAAATGTGTATTGTAGACTAATTTCAGAGTAGAGGTAAAGCGTACAGAAAAGGGGATGCCGAATTGAGCAGAAGGGTATGACGCAACTTGCCATTTTTGAACTTAGAGCGATTTATCCTTTACGAAGGGATTAGCAATTACGGAATCTCTATACCAGTTCTGGAATGCATGATAGTACTTAGAGACTGGTGGCTTGTATCTCTTCATCCGTGGATGATTATTCGGAGGCTCATTCTCATGTCATGATGCTACCTTTGAGCAACACAAGTTGATATGCGCTTTTCACCGGCCATGAGCGACGGGTGTAAGCCTTGACATTTGCCGCTGGGGTGTTTGTACATCGTGACCCTAGCAGCGGACCGGGGCCGCGCCACGACGCTGCAGTGCATCCAACGTGCACGTGTGGTGCTAGTGCATGAGACCTCCCCACGCACCGACCGATCCCAGACAGGCGTCTGGAGTCGAACGCCAAGCCAAACAATATTATGTTACGGCGCCTGTGGACCCAACAAGGCTGGGTGGCGGGATCAACACTCTTCACTGACCCCAGCCCGGGCGCCGGCTGGCGGGGTCAGCCGGCGCTCAATATGCATCAATGTATTGAAGACTGGCGTTGTCTAGCCGTGCCCTGATGGCGGAGGGGGCGCGCGCGGGCCGCACCGACTCTGTCTCACGCTCACTCTCTCCGTTCCAGAGGCCAGAGGTTCGCGGCGGGTCGGCCATCAGGGCCCGGTCACGTGACCTCTGCTCGCCGCGGGGCCCGGCCGGGCCATTACGAGCGCCGGCGGGGCGAACGGCGCCGTCCACGCCGTCAGAGCAGCCAGCACGTGGCCGGCGCCGGCGCCGGCTGCCGAGGGCGCTCCGGCAGCTGGCCGCGGTGGCCGCCGTCCGGAGCCGCTGCTGGCTGCCGAGCCTGTGCGGCCTGAGCTGGCCAGCAGCGGACCCGCCATCTGCGCGGAGAAGTTGCGTCCCTTCCGCGCCGTCGCAGCCATGGCGTCCACCGGGCCGGGCGGTTCCGCTCTGGGAAAGTATTGTGGCTACAAATGCAAGTCAGGCCGGGACCTTCGCGGGTGTTCGCGGTGGGGTTCGTAAGGGGTGTGACCAGTCCTCCGGGCCGTATGAGAGTTCAAGCAGGGCAGGTGGCCGTGTCATATGCCGGGGCTTCTATTATGCAGGCATTTGTCCACGCCGTGCGTGGCATCAAAAAATCGGGAACCGGTGGTTGGGACGCTCTGCTCTGATAATGTTGGTCTTTCACGCGTTTGTGCATCAATATATTAAAGACTATTCTGACATAGTGCGTGCCTGGACATGCTGCAGTGTTGTTTTAGTGCTGTTGTCGGCGTTGCGGGCGGAGCAAGTTGGCGGCGGATCAGTGCTGCGGGTCAGACTTCTTTAGCCGGACGGTGTGGACAGACGAGACATGCGCGTGCGTCCGCGGCACCAGACCAAGTGTGCCGGGACCGGTCCTGTGATGCCTGCTGGTTCCTGCCGAGTCGGCGTCGCCGCGGCCCGGCGGCGGAGCCCCGGGACGCGGCGTCGGCTGGCAACGCGGTCGACAACTCTTCTGTGATCACTCGCTCCATGTCTGCCAAACACGACTGAACGCTCCCTGATCCGGTGCGGGCTGTGGCGTCGCTCGCTCGACAGCTCAGCGCCGCTCCAGCCGGCAAAAGTCGTTCCTCCATTCCAGTTCCGCGTCACAGGCGGTGCGGCTCGCGGCCGCCCGTCACGCGGCGGGGCGTGCCTCCGCCGCGGCCGCCTCGACGCGGGCCCGGTCCAGCCGGCCTCGGCAGTCGCAGGGGCGCGGCGTGCCCATCATGCGTCTGCAGGTCGCGCCGCGTTATTTGTCGATGGACGGCGCGGCTGTTTTCGCGAGGTTTGCAGCGGCCTCCGTTCGACTCTCCTCGGTCCCGTTCATGTTCTCTTCGGGACGCGTGCGGTGGCATGGGCACCAGCCTGAGTGACGGACTTTCGGCTATCCAGACCGCATACGGTTCCGTCGTATGTCCACCGGCTGAATGCAGCTCTCGTTGTGTGGGAAAGGGGCGCCAGTGCGATTGCACTGGAGTGTCGCTGCAGCAGACGTCGGTTGTCCACCGTTACTGGGGAAGCGGGGGGGGGGGAGGGGGGGGGGGTGGGAGGGACCGCGCGGAGTCGCGGCGGCCGTCCGGCGTATCGCGCCGTCCGGCCGCGGCTCGCGCGGCGTCGTCTACCTTGATCTGGGTTACCGTGTCAAGGTGTTGACCCGAGGGCGGTGCGTGGCCCGCCCGCCGCCAGCACTGAAGCTGTATGATCTCCGGCCGGTGTAGTGGGGCGGGTGCGACTAGAGGGTTGGGGCTCCGCACGGTGTTTGGGGAGGGTCTGGCTGACTGTGTATGGTCCGTCGGGTTGGCTTTCGCGTCCCACCAGCGCCTGTTGTTGGGGCACCGACCGGATGACGTGGCCGGCGCCGAGCAGCTGCCGGGATACCGACTGAATGACGTCACATGCGCCAGGCGGTTGCTGGGGCACTGACTGGGGATGTCACTGTCGCTCGGCCGCTTCTGATGCGTGACTCGCTGACGCTCAGATCAAGTTCATTTCGCCTTAGGCATGACTTGTGTCATAATTTTACCGAGATGTACAAAGGCAAAGAATGGTTTCTCAGGCTAAAAGTGGAAAATTATCACGATGAACATGTATCTGTATAGCTGTATTTTGCGATATTTACCAGTGTCGATTAATAGCCGTCTGTTGATATCGAACTGTACAGCTCTCTGACCAGTCAGATGTTCTACTCGTGAAAAATGAATACAAGTGAAATTGCTTGTCTTTCCTTTTTCTGTGCACTGACGTGTGGTGCGCCCTCGGACGGGCAGGCCCGCGCTGTGGGGGTGCTGGCGACGTGGGACCGGCGAGGCTGGCGGCGCGACGGCACCAGCCGGGCAGCTCTCACGTGGCGGACGCACTGCTGGGGCCTCGCACGCAGTCGGCCCGGCCAGCGACCGGGCCGCGCCACGGCCGTCACGTGGCCACCGCGGCGGAAGCCGCGTCACACGCGCTCGTGACGCACGCGGCGCCGACGAAGGTCAAGGGGGTGTGCACTGCGCAGGACATCGCCATGATTGAGCGGGGTTGGATGTTCCAACCGAGGAGACCGCGTCCTCTAATTGCCAGCACGCTGTCGAAGCGGTCTAGAGCTCCAGGTGGGAGGGGTTCCATCACGCCGGCTGATATACGTAGCGTGCTGCCGAGATAGATTACCTCCACAGAGATGCATCACGCGGTGCTCGATCGCCGAATGCTTGCGCTGTTGGCGTGTATCACGTGTGCGGCGCTCGACTCGGGCCGGACGAGCGACGCTCACTGGCTCCAGTCTGCCAGCGGGAGCCCCAGTCGGGCAGCGGGAGCCCCAGTCGGGCAGCGGGAGCCCCAGTCGGCCAGCGGGAGCCCCAGTCGGGCAGCGGGAGCCCCAGTCGGCCAGCGGGAGCCCCAGTCGGCCAGCGGGGGCCCGGGGCTGCCCGCGGGAGCCCCAGTCGGCCAGCGGGAGCCCCAGTCGGCCAGCGGGAGCCCGGGGCTGCCCGCGGGAGCCCCAGTCGGCCAGCGGGAGCTCCAGTCGGCCAGCGGGAGCCCGGGGCTGCCCGCGGCCTCGAAAACTAAACTCGCCGCAGCAAGTGCCATCGAACACCCCGTGTCGACGTGCATCAGACTAATGCCATTAGCCATCAATCGAAGCGATCTCTGGTGCGTCAAAAAGACTCAGTGGCGTAGAAATAACAAATTTAGGGTCTTACATCAGCTTTTAGAACCATGCGTACTTGTATATCGTGGATATCAGTTTTGTGTAGCCATTGGCACGCTGAATCGTGACGAACAGTGATGCATCCGTGGTTTGGATCTCCGGCCGGTCAGATCGGGCACTGCGTGTCAGTCGCTACCGGCGCTGCCGACGGCGACCCGTACCTCGGGGCGGACGGCGGCGGCAGCGGGCGCTTGGGGCACGCGGTGACGCAGTGACGGAGCGGATGCGCAGTCGCCGGTTGCGTATGGTGACGAAACTGACTGTTAGGTGAATGGGCGGTCGGCAAGTGACTGGGGCAGTGAGGAAGTGCCGAAAGGCTGCTACTGAAGATAACAGTGTGTGTCATGTTGTGTCACCAAACTAGTGTGCTATCGAGGCGGATGAAGCATCGACATCGGATTTACTTGGCAAATTTGAATCGCGTGCGGCATGCAGCATGATTGCCGTTAGTATGTCAGTACTTAAATCTTAAATTGCTGTACATATCGCAGCGAGGTTGAACAGAAGCTAGTGCTATGCACTCGAGGACACGCTAAGCTGGAACAGTCTTTGTAATTTTCCCTATTCAATTAACGTATTTCCAGCAAGTACCCGAGCATGAAGGCCACCACAGTCACGAATTTAAACAATCTGCGTCAGCGTGGTGTGAGTGAGCCATTTTCAGTCATTTCGATGCTGATGAATCACATCCTTCGGGCTCCATGATGCATCCATTTAATCATGACACGACAGCATCAGCCCCAGTGACTCGTCGTTCCGGCATATGGCCACGCTCTCTGCACACCTTTCATCGTGGCTGACACGCTATCAGGCATGGCATTGCGAGCGCGCCGTGCTGGCTGTGCGCTGGACCTCGAGACCCCGTCTGACGTCTGAGCGCGCCGTGCAGGCTGTGCGCTGGACCTCGAGACCCCGTCTGACAAGCTTCAAAGCACAGCTAGCAGGTGTCGGAAGAAGGATTGAAATGTGTAGTTGGCATCTAATACTTAGGCCCGCTTCACCCTGTCAGCGCTTGTTTGAAGAAAATAATTCCAAAACACGGCGGAAATATTCTGAGGGTGCGGATCGATGAGATTGAACAAAATGAAGATTAATCTAGGCTAATCAAAGTCCCCACTGCTTCAGCTTGGTGTTGGTGCGTGCGTTTATGCGATGTAGTTCCATACATTATTCTATCGACGTTTTACGGATCTTTCTTGCTCTGGGACTACTATTTATTCCACACATATTCTTCTTTTTCGCTTTTTGGCTGCATGGTCACATAATGCGGTGAATGAGCACATGCTACGGTGGATGGCCGTTGCGGTGCGTACTGCACAGAGTGCGCAAAAGAGAACTCTTCCTGGACTCTGTGTGAGCTTAAAGTGACCAGCACCCTTTTTAGGCTAGTACTGAGCGCCGTGATATTGGAGTTTGTTGACTGGATTGACTTGAGCTGCTGACTAACTTGTTGCTAACATGCGCTCAACATCGAATCGAACTCCAGGTGAGACCGGAAGATTTTCCATCACCTAACATCAAAACATACTAAAGGAAACTGCGACACCATTTCACATCAATGATTTTGAGCTTTAAGGGTACACGGAGCACACAAAAAATCGCTAACGGAGGGTATTGGAAGTTTATTTTCGCCATCTACAAAACTACAAAACTTTGCACGTGAATTCAAGACAAACGTGAAAGCAAGCAATGCTCGTAGGTCTGATGTCATTTTTGCAGCCTTCAAGCAATGGACCTTCCAATGCTTCTACCAGTTCAGGAAAGTGGAGGCCTGCTGACGTCAGCTCCGGCACGCTGCTGACCCTCAGCCAGGGCCACGCCTGATAGCAGCCACGGCGGGTGTGGCATGCGGACCCTGCCGCCCATTCGGCTCCGCGTGCGGGCACTGAGCCGCCGCCGGCCGGCCGCGGTATCCGGGCCCCGGGGCGGCGCACCCGGCCCACCTGTCCGCCCGCCTGC